CAGGTGTATGCCTCTGTTCTTTGCATTTGTAGCTGATGTAGAAAGGGGCTCCCTCTGGCTGGCCTGACGCCAGCACAGTGACTGCCAGTTTGTGAACCAGTGCTGTCAGGCCAGGAGGAAGGCACAGCAGGCTGTGTATTACAGTGGGGGGCCTCAGAGCTGAGTAGCTAGCCAAGGGGATGGAGTACCTGATGCTCCTGAAAGTTTCCAACTTGCTGGGCAGAACATGCTCAGACAATCTTGTCCACCTATCCCTTCTCCCGTGTAGCTAGCTCCATGAAAACCCCGCCTCTTCAGCAGCTCTCTCACTGCTAGGAAGCCTCTCAGACTGCTCACATTTCCTTTGTCCCAGAGCGGTGGATGTGGATCCCTGTCCTCCACAAACAGCTGGAATCTCAGTCTCTCAAGTGTTCCACTGCCTTAGCTTTCCAATCCCACTAATCTCCAGAGCACCATGCAGTGTAGGTTTGTGCTCGCAAAGCAGATCTCTAGGACTGGGTGTTCAGCAGTCCTAGCCTTCCACCCCCTCCCTCCTCCATTTCTCTTCCTCCTGCCAGTGAGCTGTGGTGGGGGAAGGGCTTGGGTCCCACTGTATCTAGGCTTTAGTACATTACCCTGTTTCATGAGGTCTGCTCTGTTCTCCAAGTGTATGCAGTCTGGTACAGCCTTGTTTCCTGTTGCTCTTTTAGGATTATTTGTATTAACTATATTTTCTTATTATATGTGGTTTTAGAAGGAGTTCTCTGTCTCATCTCTCATGCTGCCAACTTGAATTGATCTTTGACTATGGACTTTTAAGGTCATCTAGGTGAATCTCCAGGGCCTTCTGGAAAATTTAGGACAAGCTTGCCCAGAGAACCTGGACAGTGGCCATACCTACAATTTCTCCTCATCCCCCATTCTTTATAGATGAAGCATTAAATTGAATAATAAAAGCCTATTGTGTGCTTACATATGACATAATGGAAAAAGCAGGCAAATGGAGGAGACTATTGAGCAGTAAGAAAGTAAGGCGAGTGTCCTTGAGAAATCTACTGCTCTATGTCAAGGCAGAACATTGAGTCTGGGGCAGCTGGCCCTTTTGAATTAGTATAGCAAACACTCAAGGAGGAATTGGGAACCCAGGATTCAGTCTCAGAGGGCTCCCAGTCCCAGGAATTTCATCTCCTGGCATTGCAGGCAGCACTATTTCAACCTGAAGTTGCATTTGAAGTCTCTTACAGGAAGCAGTAAGCAAGAGAAGAGGCAAAAGGTGTAAGGATAGAGATAAAGGGACAACAACCAAAAGTTCTTACCACTCAGAAAGATGACTTTTTGTATACGAATGACAGGAATGCTTTTGACAGAACAGACACACCAATAAGCAATAAAAGAGTGAAAAAGTCAGGGACATCAGAGAGACCCTCTCAGAGCTTGCCCCTCCTCTTCCACCCCACACCCTCCTGTCTTAAACCAGGCGAAGAACCTAGAACCATAAAAAGGTACCACCGGGAGGGCCCTCCCTCCTCTTGTGTAGCAACCCACTGGAGTACTGCTCCCTCACCCCAGAGCTCCCTAATTACTTTCCTCTAGGGACCTTCACGTCACTGCATTTACATATAATTCTCACTTTCTATGTCAGTGCATTATCTGTACTCTAGTCCCAAACTCCAATTATCTATATTAACTTCTGTGATACAACTGACAGGATGACTACTGAAACACTGGTCACAATTTAAACTATTCTAATGAGTCCCATAGAGTCAGGCTCTAGTTGCTTGAGATTGTTGTTGGGGGAATAGGGGGCAGGTGGATGGTTAATCTGTCAAAAGGGGCAATCATGCATCTAAACCTTCTCCTGCCCATGACTTCCGCATGCCTTCCTCCATTCATCTTTCAACCTTGGAGAGTTCATTCAACCTCATGATTTCAACTATCTAGCTTGCTGATCTCCTGCCCAAATTTCTGGTTCTGGTAATGTTTATATAAGGCTTTGATGGACATCTCACTTTGACCGGGTTTAACTCTGGTCCCCATCTTTGCCATCTTAGTATTTCCAGCTGAAATTAAACACAGTATACATACTAATTTCACCCTCTTATTCAATGCAGAACATTATCCTTAAGTCTTCCTTCCTCTTTATTCATACCCAGTTAAATCACCAGTCCCTTTTAATTTCACCTCCAAAATTTCTCTGGAATCTATCCATTTCTTTATAGTCACACTGTTACCTGCTTAGGTCTCATTAACACCAACTCTAACCTGATTTACTAGTCTCCAAACTGGTCTTTCCTCTTCCAATCCATTTTCCATACTACAGCCAAAGTGGTCTTTCTACATTATAAATCTGATCATGTTAATCCCTTGCCTAATATGGAATTGTTTTTCAGTGGTTCCCAACTGCCTCTGGATAGAGTCCAAGCCTAAACATGACTTACAATCTCCTTTGTCCTACTACTTTACCTTCATCTCTCATTTATTTCTTCCCTTACACTCTAAGTTGCTAGTCATCCTGAATACTGCTTCCAGCTGCTGAAGCATGCCATTTCTCTCTAGACCCCAGGTTTCTGAATATACTGTATCCTCTGCCTAAAATTCTCTGTGTTTCCCTTTCCTGCCACTACTACTTTGCCTCCCCACCAACTAAGTCCTACCATCAGGTGTCAGTTTGTACATCACCTCTTCAGGAAGCTTTCCCAGGTCTGGGTTACATGGTTCTCCTCTCAGCACCCTATGCTTATTCCTTTTTCCTTATAACTTTGAATTGTAATTTCCAATTTACATGTCCTTTGTCTATATTTGTCTGTGAGCTTCTCAAGGGTTGGGGCTATTCATCTCATTGGAATTCTGACAACTGGCAGAGTGCATGGCACAAAGAAAACAAACACTTGATGAATGGGGGTGGAGATTTACTGAAAAGGGGCACAAAGAAACATTGTGTTCTGTATTTTATTCGGGATGGTAGATACACAGGTGTGTTCGTCAAAACATTAAAATGTACATAATGTGTTTTTATTTTATTGTATGTAAATTATACCTCAATGAAATTGACTTAAAAAATACTGGATGATATTTTTGCAGTGTCAACACTATCTTTTTATCATCCAGGTCTCTAAACTCCTACCCTTCTCTTGCCCTAAACATTCTGACAATAACTAAGTTCTGGTACAGCTTCCTTCCAATGCCTATCAAAGCCCATCTTCCCTCCCCATTTCTCTGCTATAACCCCAGCCCCATCCCCTCAGCCCTAATTTACAACATTATCTGCACTCCCTGCTACTAGTCTCTCCCTGTTCTAGCTGCCCCCATTTTCCACTGAGGTAAAATCTTATAAAAGTACTACTTTATTCACATTGTATCTTTGCTCATGCGCCTATAATATTTTTTTATTGTCCTTAATAACTAAGATTTTCAGTACTGAGTAAATGCCAGGCGGTATACTTAGTATGTTACATATAATTCAGCTCAATGAAATTGATGCTATCATAACTCCCATTTTACAGGTGAGAAAATGGGAACTCATAAAAATTCAGTAGCTTGGTCTACAAATACACAGCTGAGTTTGAAAGCAAGTCAACACTAGTTCTCTTAGAGCAGTTTCCAACCCATTTGTGCTTGTTCTAAATGTTAACAGAACTCCCCTTTCAAAAGAAACCTCGCCTAGGACCCCCATGTAAGATTGATAAAAGTAGAGCTGACAAGTGGCACCAGGTAAAAGGCCTGGAGACCAGCCCCTTTTCCCCACCTCATTTTAGCTCCTGAGATACCTGTTTGAAAACCACTGCCTCACCTCACACTAACACCATAAAAAGGCACTAGCAGGGGGCCCTTCCTCCTTTTGTGCAGCAACCAACCCACTGGAGTACTGTTCCCTCACCACTTTCCTCTAGGACCTTCACTGCATTTACATATAATTCTCACTTTCTCTGTCAGTCCATTATCTGTACATCTTATAGAACTGATTTACTTTTCACAGGTATTTATCTTTTCCCCCCAAATCCACTGGACCTGGACTTCTTCAAGAACTGGGGCCATACTCCTCACCGGCATCACTGGGTGCTGCCTGGGGGAGAGGGACAGGTGACCTCCTCACAAGCCTGCCAGGCTAAGTTGTGCACTATAGCCCCAAGCCTGATGCAGTGTGGGCAGGAGACAGCCACTGCTCTGGGTGGAATTACAGAATGTGTATGTACAGGCTGTGGTTGTCTCAAATTTAACATAGATCTTCAAGGTTTCTTTCACCTCAAAACTTACTGTTCGTAGACCCCCAAAGCTTAAAAGTCTGAGGGTTCCCCATTTCCCCTGCCACTCACCTAAATAACAGACCCAGACTCTGCTCTGTACTTGCCCCAGACTGCTCCCCTTCCTTTTAGGTCTGCCTTCTCAGACTAACATGTACAAGCAGACAGGAAAGGCAGCTAAATATATGAGCACAGACGAGTACAAATAGGAAGGTCTGATACAGGTAGGAAGTGATAGCTTTGAGGACCAAAGTGGGAAATGAACAAAAGAATTAGGTGAATAAACAAGATGAATAATAATTGTCTGTGACTCTGCTCTGTAGAAGTGAGGGAAGAAGTATCTTTCTGACTTTGTCACACCAATCAAGGACAGCCTTCAAGGAAATCGAGGCCAGGCAGTCCCCAGTGTGAGAAACTAATCTTATCTATGTATTTAAGGTTCTAAGATTCTTTAAAACTCTAAAGATAGACATTCTCTAGAGAGTGGGCCACATGACAACACCCAACACGGAAGGGTTGATCTCTGGACTGGGAAAGTCTTAAACAGGCACTTGCTCTAAAGCTGAAATGAGCAACCTACATCCGCACAGCCATATCCATTATTCTTCTGGCTGAAGCTTTGCCCACCCAAGGCCTCCTGAGGCCTATTGCCCACTATGCCTAGAATCCCTCTGGTCTCTCACTGGACTATTCATCCAGAACTTGGAGTTGTCTGGGAGAGGAAAGGAATAGATGCTTAGGCTAGGGGTCTGCAGCCCTCTGTCCTGGGCACACCCTTACCCTCCAGTGCATATTGCATGTCTTGGGCAAAGAGCTGCCACATCACTTCTGCGCTGACTTTTCCCACATTCAACTCCTGAGGAAACCTGGATGATGGAAGAAGCCACAGTCAGAGAACAAAGCAAGAGCTCTTTGATTTGACTGATTCCAAAGCTAATATGCCTAGTTCTTGGAGGTCAACTAAAGAGAGGAGCCTCAGAACAGGGCTAGAATCAATCTGGAGAAAAGGGGCCTGGGGGCCAATGTAGGACAAATGGGGACAGAGAATTCCCTCAGGCAAGGTGAGCCCAGGGGAGAGGATGTCTAGAAGACAGGGAATTGAGGCCCACAGATGAATGATTAAGACTGGAAGGCAGGTTCAGACTAAATAAGATGGAGAAGAAAGGGCAAGGATGTGGACATAAGAAGGCCCACTTTATTAACAGTAGACAGACACATACACACATGGTCTCTGGATCCCCTGGGACTCCTATGGCAGCCATTCCCAGAGGCTTCTTACTCCAGGGAAGCTGGCTCAGTCTGGGCAGGGCCCCCCATTATGTTCCACACCTGTCTCCAGAAACAGTTACCCACACAGATACAAGGGACAGAGGGATAGATGGACGGACAGGAGGAAGAGATGGCACTGTAAACATATAGAGATAGGAAAAAAAGACTGTTAGACAGATGGACAAATCAGCCACGAACCAGAGAGGGCCACATTGGGTGATACTCACTGGTTCAGAACAAGTGTGTAGGAATTCTTATCTTCCTCTATGATTGACACAATGAGCGTGATGAGTTTAGGCCAGAAATCCAGATTCCGCATGCTGGGTCCTTGTTCCTCTGGTGGTAGTTCCTGCTTCTTGTTCCGGAGGAGACAGTAATAGACAGAGTCAGAGTGGGATACGAAGAATGTCTCCAGTCTTCCTTTTTCTCTTTCCCTCCCCATGATACTTCCTCTAGAATCAGGTAGTCTTCCTCTCCTAGAGCCTGTCTTACAGAAGACCACCCTGTTCTGTGATAGGGGTGACTATTGGGAGGTCCCTGGACACAGAGTCCATCCCTGAGAGCCTTTCTCCCCAGCTCCAGGGCACTGATCTGCTAAGCTTGGTCAGTCTAAGAGACACAGAGATGCACATCCCCCTTCTTCCTTCCCTTAGTAGCTATGGGGACAGGGACTCCTTGGTTGAGATAGGTAGCCCCTCCTGTGTCACTAAGGAGATTAGTTCCACATGACCCCAACTGACAGACCTCCTGACACCTTCCCCACTCACCATACACATACATATATATCTCAGCTCTGAGAAGCTCCTTCAAGTTTTGCAGGAGCTACTAAACACATCTAGCATGCAGACTGGCCTAACCTTCAGTGGGTTAGGACTTCCCTTAACCCCTGAATGTCATTAGGGGGAAGAATTACATGTAAGAAGCTACTTGCCTACCTGGATAAGAAAAGGTCTTGAGGAGCCAAGAATACTCAATGGGGACAGGGTAGTCTCCTCAATAACTGGTATTGAGAAAATTGGATTTCACATGATGAATGAATATTCACAAAAGAATGAAACTGGACCCCTATCTTACACCATACACAAAAATTAACTCAAAATGGATTAAGGACTTAAATATAAGACCTGAAACCATAAAACTCCTAGAAGAGAACAAGGAAAAAGCTCCTTGAGGTCTGTTTTGGTGATGTTTTTTAGATATGACACTAAAAGCATAAACAACAAAAGCAAAAATCAAGAAATGGTACTATATTAAACTAAAACGTTCTGCACAGCAAAAGAAACAATCAACAAAATGAAAAGGCAATCTACAGACTGGGAGAAAATATTTGAAAACCATGTATCTGATGAGGGTTTAATATCCGAAATACATAAAGAACTCATACAACTCAACAGCAAAAAAACAGATTTAAAAATGGGCAGAAGACTTTAATAGACATTTCTTCAAGACATATAAATATCCAACACGTGCATGAAGAGGTGCTCAATATCACTAATCATAAGAGAAATGCAAATCAGAACCATAATGAGATGTCTGCACATGTCTTAGAATAGATATTATCAAAAAGATAAGTGACAACAAATGTTGGCCAGGATATGAAATAAAGGGAACCCTGGTGTATTCTTGGTGGGAATGTAAACTGGTACAGCCACTATGGGAAACAGTATGGAGGTCCCTCAAAAAATTAAAAAGAGAACTACCATATGATCCAGCAATCCCAATTCTAGGTATAAACCCATTGGAAATGAAATCACTATCTTGAAGAGATTATCTTACCCTCATGTTTATTGCAGCATTATTCATAGTAGCCAAGACAAGGAAACAACCTACATGTCTATCAATGGGTGAAGGATAAAGAAAATAAATATGGTATATAAACACAATGGATTATTATTCAGCCATAAAAAAGAAGGAAATCCATATTATTTAAAAAGCAAGTTATAGAACACAGAAGTGTGTGTACAATGTGATCCTATTCATGTTAAACACCTCTCACCGCTAAGTTTGGACAGATTGCTATCAAATTAACAAGAATGGCTCCCTTTGGGCAGAATTAGATGGGAATCCAGAAGAACTTTTGACTTATATACATTTTTTTAAAGAACAAAAATGAGTTCCTGTTTTATTGTTTGATGGAAAATAAATTTCAGAGAAGAAATGTAGCAAATGAAAAATGGCTAAGTTAGCCATTAGCATTGAGTGTTTGCCTGCTGTTTGAGTTTGAGCTATGTCACAGTATAACAGCTTATATTTGTGCTTTGCTTTAAGGTAAGCATAAATAGATATGCTTTATGTGTTTTGCTTTATTATTTCATAATAAAACTATGAATTTTCTGCTGTAAAAAAAAAAGAAGGAAATCCAGTCATTTGGGACAACATGGATGGACCTTGAGAGCATTTTGCTAAGCGAAATAAGTCAAAGCAAGAAATACTGAAGCATCTCATTTATACATGTAATCTAAAGATGTCGAATTTATAGAAATGGAAAGTAGAATGATGGTTGCAAGGAGCTGACAGGTGGGGGAAAATGGGGAGACATTGGTCAACTGGTACAAACTTTCAGTTCTGAGATGAATAAATTTGAGGGATCTAATGTACAGCATAGTGATTATAGTTAACAGTATTGTATTATGTATTTGAAAGATGCTATGAGAATAGAGCTTTAAAGTTCTCACCATAACAACAATAAAATGATAATTATATGAGGTGAAGGATGTATTAACTAACCTTATTATGGTAAACATTTTGCAGTATATGTGTGTACCAAACCATCACATTGTATACCTTAAACTTACATAATGTTGTGTGTCAATTATATCTCAATAAAGCTGGAGGGGGGGAAAGAAAGAAAAGGATTTGGTTAGGAAGAGATAAAGTAATACAACAGTGGATCTCAGGGAAGGAGAAGCGACTGTACATTCAGAACCAAGACAGGACAAGTAGAGGTCACCACAGAGAGGCTGGAATGGACATGTTATCTCCCATTGGGACAAAGGCAAAGTTAGAACTGCCTAGAAGGACAGGGTTAGGGGATGCCACATGTCATCACAAAGTCTCCACAGTCTTTAATAAGCCTGCATTATCAGAAAGTTTCCAGAAACCAGGACAGAATCCACAGTGGATTTTTTCCTTCTTAATAGTATTTAAATACATCTCCTCCTTTAGCTTATTCTGCCACTATCTTGGCTTGGGCTCTTATCAGTCCAATCCCTATTCCATGCAGGTGTCAGTCATCTTTCTGCAAGGAGAATCTCATTGTGTTACCTCTCTGAAATTCAATGGCCTTCAGTAAAATTCCAACTCCATGGCTTGACACAAGAGTCCTTCAGAATATGTCCTCTCTCAACCTCATACCTTACCATTTCCCTTTTTTTTGCAGTCATAGCCACACACCACCACCACTTATTTAGTGCTTATTATGTGCCAGGCACCCTAAGAACTTCACATGCCTCATCTCATTTAATCGTCATAACAACTCCATTGGGTAGAAATTATTATCACCTTCATTTTACAGATGAGGAGACTGGAGGACAGTGAGGTTACATGTTCATGAAGCTATAAATAGCCAAACCAAAATTTAATCCTAGATAGCTGAACTCCAAAGCCTGACACTGTAACTACCTGAATTAGTTTGCTTGTATTTCCTCAGATTAACATACTCATTCCCAATTCTGTCCCTCCAAATAATCTGTTTTCTCTATATGGTATCCCCTCCTCCCCAACCCCTTTCTTTAGCTAATTCCTACTCATTCCTCATAATTCAGGTTTAGCTTAACCTTTTCTGAGTTTTCCCTGACACCCCTGGATCTTGATTATATGCCTCTCTTCTGGGCTTCCAGACAACCCTCTATGAATCTCTGATACAGATATAATAGATAACTACAATTACAGTAAAATGTAGTAATAAAATAAAAAACAATAAATGTAATCTGTCCCACACATCCACCAAACCATGAGCTCCCCCAAAACAGTGATGTGTCTTCATCAACTTTATATCCCTACTGCTCAGTTTATTACAGGGATGGGCGGATGAATGAACCAATGACTGAAGGTCAATAGAGGGAAATCAAAAAACTTATGAAGTTACGCTGATGGACAGTGACTGTGAAGGGGTATGTGGAGGGGACTTGGTGAAGGGGGGAGCCTAGTAAACATAATGTCCTTCATGTAATTGTAGATTAATGATACCAAAAAAAAACCTTATGAAGTAATAATGTAAGTAATTATGTGTAAGTAATTCATGTAAATAATGAGTGATGAGAAAAAGAGTGAGACAAAGTAAAAGACAGCAAGACTCAAAAGCTAAGGGGAGTCCCTGTATAGTCTGTCAGCCCTCTTTCAAAGCCTAGGCTCATCTTCTGCTACGGAATGGAAAGACCCAGCACTCAGACAAAGTAGCCCTGCAGTTGAAAGGTCAAAGCTGAGAAGAGTGTCTTCCCCTAACCAGAGAGAATCCATACATGGGTAACAGAGGAGCCCAGAGTGTGGCAAGCTCAACAGAGGTCCCAGGAAAATCTCCCATGGATTTCAGAACCAATGGGAGGTTTTACAACCTTAAAAGAAGGAAGCCTTTAAGACAGGCTGGCACAAAAAGTACATTTGGGAATGTGAAGAGTCAGTGTGAACAAGATTTTAGTCTTTACTAAGATACTCCTAGGGACAAATTGGATTTATTCACCAAAGGGTAAACATCCAAGAGATTTAGACTGTCCTCCCATCATTTATTGACCAAATCTACTGCCTTTCAGGGTCTGTCTCAAATGCCCCATGTTTTTTGTAGATTTTCCCAGTATCCGATCAAGAGTGACTTCTTCCTTCTTGGAATCCCTTCAATTTTATTCCTTTTCAAGGCCCTTCTGGCAGACTTCTTTGATTAGAGTTACCCATATGCTCATGAGAATGTGAACTAACTGAAAGAGCGCTGTGCTTTCCTCAGATCTGGCCCAGAACAAACATTCAATACATATTTGTTGAACTGAAGGGAAACTATTCTGTAAATGTGTGTTCTGCAAGATATTCTTAAGACAGGAACTATAACTGAGTAATCAGACACAGAAGGAAGTCCTGGCTTTGAAATAAGAAAAAAAAAGAGATATTATTGAAAGGACCTAGAAAAATGTACAGTCGCCAGGTACTGAGTTAGGTTGCCAGTCTAAAACAGGTGAAGTAGTTCAGCCTTACAGAAGGATAGGGTATGCCTTGAGAGTCAGCTGATGAACGTATCTCAAAAGACCATGCACCTCAGAGAGAAGTGGTCAAAGAGAAAAATTAAACTTTCATGAGCCAGTAGCTCACAGAGACAGGTACAGATCTCAGCCTGGAACACAGCAAAGTCTACATGAGTTAGAGTAAAATTAAGTTTGGGGGAGAAAAAAGACTCTGTGATGGACTGAAAATTCACCTACTTACCCCCGGAACTGCTCAAATTTTGGTCACTTTCTTTAGCATCAAACTAAAGCTTATCATTACCACTTCTATTCAACTCAGTCACGTCATTTCTTGTTCAATGGTCCTTGTCCATCCTCACATGTCTCACATAGTCTAGATGGTCCACACCCTACAACTTACTCACTCTAGAGAACTCAAGGACTTTTTCCTGAGCTCCCTTCCATCATTATCACAGAAAAGGAAAACTGAAGCTCCAAGAGCCACTGATAGTCTGTCCCACCTGATCCTGAACTTCTTACCAGCTGGTACTGGCGGCTATACAAGTCATGGCAATTGCTGAAGATATACTCGTATGTGGAGTTCAAACAGGCCTTCACACAATCCTTTACCACCTGGCTGGCTCGTGGAGGGCTCTGTAGTTCTTGCACCTGCCAATTTATAAAAGGAATATGGGTCCAGGGTCCTGCTCACCTACATGGTTTCATTTTAGAACTCCCCCTAAACTACTCCAGATTCCTTCACCCTCTTTCGGATCCCTGGACCTTACTCTGGATAGAATTGCTAGGATAGCTGATGGGGAAAACTGCCCAGACCATCTTTGTTGCTCCATGGTCTTCTCAGAACTAACCCAGGGAACAGGTGTATGGATGCATGGGCTTAGAGGTGATGAATCCTGTAGCCTCAGACTGAGCCCAATAATTCTTATTCTCCATGTCCCTGTGGCTAGTTCTCCAGCCCAGCACCACCCAGCCCAGTTCACCTTTTACCTTCATTCTGAAGAAAGTAATGCTGGTCAGCAAATCCACTGTAGACTTTAAGTCCTGAAGCCGCTCAGGGCTCCCAGCAGGGAAATTATTCTGTTGCAAATCAAGCAAATGTGAGAAAGGAACAGAAATAGGAAAGCCTTTCCTGCCAAAAGCAATGAAATCAAAAGCTTCTCTACCTGTTACACACTGGGATCCCCTGGTTGAGCTGAACAAAAAAATACTATGGGTCTCCCTCTCTTTACCACTGACAGAGAAGGCCTTTGTCAAAAGCAAGCGTTAATAAAACCTAGCCCAGAAAGCAATACTTCCTACCCCCAACCCTACTTCCCATGCAGTGTGTGAGCATTTGGACAAATGCGCGCACACACACACACACACACAAATGCATGCACACACACACACACACACACACACCTTTTTTGGGTGAAGTTTCTTACACCCAAACACACACACACTTACACCCAAACACACACACACACACACACGCAGTGACGTTTCTTACACCCAAAAAGTGAGTTCTTCACAAGTTACAATCTAACTGTATATCCTGGAATACAAGTGAAGCCACACTACAGACCATACTGAGATCCAGGATGTGGACTTTTGTACAATGGACTCCAGCTCTTCTACCATTATGGAGCCACCAGATGGCAGAGCTCTGAGCAGAACTGCTTTTGGAGTGAGTTCCTTAGAACCATCCTGCTATGCCTCATTTAATTCTCTTTGGCATGAGTTTTAGGAGAAAGAGGCCAGGGAGAGCTGGGCGGGGGAGATGTTGAGCCACTCTTCATTTTAAGGGTCACTGTTTTAAACCGTTATGTGGCTACTTATATGCCAAATATAAGATATACAGTCAATTCTCCATTATTCATGAAAAATGGAGGACAATGAAAGTGTAGATAATTAGAAACTCACTTCTTTTAACTTTGAAGTTATTTTTATACTTACTTTTTTATGTGGGTATATTGCTTGTTCTGGAAATTCACAACATTTCAAAGCAAGTAATGAAGCCATTCTAAGAAGATCTAACTTAGGAAGAAGTGAGAAACTGTCCATTTCTCTGTCCTGGCCATGCCCATGTACCTACTCTCCTGCTACATTTCCTCTCTCCATTCCAGGAATGGACATGACCTCTGCTACACACTACTTGCCCAAACCAAGCTACTTTCTCTCTCTCCTTAGGTGCATTCTCACACCTCCCAGGAAAATAAGGAGAGTAAGGAAAAATGCCAGAATGAAATATAATTATCTAATTTTTAAAGGGGGCATTTCCAGAAGAGATTATCCTCAAGAGATTCCCTAATGGGAATGTGGTGATGTGAGTAGGGTTGGAAAGCCAACTGTCTATATAAAGCAGTTCAGCCCCTGGTGCTACTTACATGCTGCATGGTCCTTGGCGTTTGGAGAATCACAGGTGACAGTGGCATTGGCCATGCATGTGGGTGTGATGACACAAACCAATTTCTTTGCCTTCGATCTTTACAGCCAAAATTAGCTTAGAGTCTCTCCAGACTGAACTTGATATTATCTGTTATCCCCCCCCATGGCCATTATCTTCACTTACCCTGTATGTAGAGAGGTCAATCCTCAGTGAATTATGCAGCTGGTCCAGTAGTTTTACGAATCTTTCTTTCTGAGGGTGGGAAACAAGTAACAGAGAAGAGAAAAATAATCTGTTTCTAAGCTCTCTAGACTATAACAGAAACATAACCAATTCTGGGTGAGGAAAGGACCCTGGGTTGGGGACATTTTCTATCTCATGAGGAGAACAACAATGTAAGGGAGAAATGAGATAGGTGGTCCCTGTTCTATCTCTTAGCAGCTCTGTCTCACACTGGAGAATCTTTTTATATTGGCAAGAGGAAAAAAGTTCCTGGGAGGGGAACAGCTCTTCCTGTACAAGAGTCAACAGGAGATGGCCAGTGCATCTCCAACCCTTTGGGACTCTGATTCACCTCAGTCAACAGAAAACTGCAAGCACATTCTCCAGCTTGTTTTGAGTCTGTGGTCTCCTGTCTTATCCTGGGGTAGCTAATAACACCTAACCAGTCACAGCCAGGCAGTAATGATGGTAGAGAAAAATAGTGGTGCATTTGGAAGATGATCTGGCAGACCTGGGGGGTTCTAAATCACATTCCTTATTATTTCCCTTAGTTTTTACTTTTTTAAAGTTAAAATAAATAACATGTTATTTTAATAGTTGATTTTTATAGAAAAGGTATAATTAAATGTGGGATCACGTTGGCATAGCACTCCTGGAACTCATATATTAAGTCAATATATAATGGGATGAGAACAAAATGGAACAGATATTTGACTGGCTTAATCAATGGTATTAGTTTATCTACAGACTCTATTAACAGTAAGAAAAAGTGATTAGTACCAAAAAAAACAAGGCTCAGGGAACCATTAGATTTGGGGGAATTATTAACTTTATCTCTGAAGAGATAATCTTTGTGGTGGGTCAAAGATATTTCATCCAGTATATACTGAGCTAATGTGTGAGATGACATTATGAGTAAAGATTCAACTTCTCAAGTACCTTAACACCAGGAAAGGGAATACTCTGGATGGGAAATATTCTAAACACTAGAAAAGGGACAGGCTCAGGTATACATTGGTATCCTCACTTAGGTATCAGTCTCACATGAACTTAAGTGGTATGAATCTGTCAGAGGGACTGAATAATATCAAGAAAGGCCCATTTGTGGACCTGCAAGACTAAGGAACATGATGAAACAACCAAGATCTTGGCCAAAGAAGGTTCTGCCCAGGCCCATGTAGTGGCCCTCAAACCAAAGTGGTGCTATTCTGCCTTCTCTCATTTCTCCATGTCTGAGAAGAGACTATTAGCAAGTTTACATAATCATAATGAAATAGGGATAGTCTAGTAGCATTGTCTACATACTGATAAAGGAACGAGTTAATCTCTCTAGGTGGCAACTACCTGAATTTTAGGCATACCAACCAACTCTACAGTTCCTACCATAAAAATCAAACCTTATTAATTGATAAAGAACAGATAGATATGTGTTTACATCATACTCACCCCAAAGTTGGAGGCTGCAAAACGATCAGAGGCAGAGACGTTGGTGGAGGCAGTTGTGTGGGCATAGTAGGCATTGATGTTGGCCAGTAAGGTGCTCATCACTGCTGGCACACCAGGACACATGTACTTGGATGACAAACATGCAAAGTGCCTGAAAAACAGCATCCTTAGCCTCAAAACTCTTCAGCACTTGCTGTGAAAGTCAAGTAATCAAAAGATCTCACTGATGTGTATGAAGTTTCCAATCATTTTGGCATATAAGGATCTTCACAATTTATTCATTTAATTGTACATTCAATGAACCCCTACCATGAGCCAGGCCCTGTGCTAAGTGCTTGAATCCAAAGATGTGATAATCTGGCAGGGAAAGCAAGTGTTAGAAAGCAAGTCAATAATTCCAAGGTATGCTATGCAAAAGCATTGTGGAAACATACAGGAAAACAACCTAAATCAGAATGGTTGGGAGCTGGAAGGGATTAGAAAAAGTCTTCCCAAAGAAGAGTACTTGAGCCAAGTCTTAAAGGATTAATACAAATTAATCAAATGGAGAAGTGTTCAAGAAAAGCGAAACTACATTGCAAAGACAAATATATTCATAAGAGAATGATTCATTTGGGAAGCTCAGTTATGGCTACCATTCAGGTGTCTGACAGAGGAAGAGCAAGAAATCATGGAGAAGTAGGCACAGTATAGACAATAAAAGAGTTTACACTAATGCTATAGTAAAATTTTTAAAAATTATATTGAGATACATACAATAAAATGCACAAATCTTAGTGCACAGCTGATGAATTTTGACATGTGTATACACTTATTTAAGCATCACCCAGATCAAGATATCAAACATTCTCACTAAATTTTTTTTAAGAACAGATACATCGATCAACAGAACAGCCTAGAGAGTCCAAAAATAAACCCATGTCTATATGATCAATTAATAGGTGACAAAGTAGGCAAGAATATACAATGGGGAAAAGACAGTCTCTTCAGTAACTGGTATTTAGAAAACTGAACAGTTACATGCAGAAGAATAAAACTGGATCACTGTCTTATGCCACACACAAAAATAAACTCAAAATGGATTACACACCTAAATATGAGACCTGAAACCATAGAATTCCTGGAAGACAACATAGGCAGTAAACCCTTAAACATTAAGCACTAGTAACATTTTTCTGGTATGTCTCCTCAAGCAAGGGAAACAAAAGCAAAAATCAACTTTTTAGTTTAGTTTTTACATTAAACTAAAAAGCTTCTGCACTGCAAAGGAAACCATCAACAAAACAGAAAGACAGCTACTATATGGGAGAATATATTTGCAAATGATATATAGTAAAATTTTAAACAAAGACATAGTGTGATTAGTTTCTCAGAAAGGTCCCTTTTGATGATAAATTGGAAAAGAAGACCAGTTTAAGAGTTATTGCAATCACTCAGAAAAGAAGCAATGAAGCACTAAATGGAACAGAGAAATGGTTAAGAGCAGTTTGAGGCTCAGCGACACCAGTGACCTTGCATAAACTTCTCTATACCTTAGTTGCCTTATCTGTAAAATGGGAAAAATGATACACGTCTCATAAGATTGACAGGAGCATTATATGAGTTAACATTCATAAAGTGCTTAAGACTGGTTACCTGGCACATAAGGAAATGCTACATAGGAGCTGTTGTTATTATCATTATCATTATTACTGAGCTGTAGCAATAGTGATATGACAGGTTAAAAACACTGGATTTAGAGATTGGATGTTGAGAGACAGTAATAAGAAAAAAGTTTAGGCTGACTCCTAAATTTGTTTGGACAACTTTATAGAAAACCGTTCTATTTACTAAAATAGGGGATATAGAAAGATAAGCTTATTTAGTGGAGATTATGTGGATTTGGAATTTAGCCATGCTGAGTTTGCAATGCCTATGGGAATACTCAGGGAGCAGTTGAAAATGGATCTGAAATTCAGGAAAAGGTCTGATCTGAACAAAGATATCTGGGGAGTCTGTTGCTCAGAAACAGTAGTTGAAGTCATAGATTTGGATGAGATTATCTAGGGAAAGTGAACAGAGTAAGAATGGCAGAGAGGCCACTCTCAAATGTCATACCTCACCATATTTCTTCTCCCCATTTATACCATACTTCTTGTAATTCCTTAATTATTCTATGCTCTGTTGCCCGACCAGAAATACCCATCTTCCTTTTCTCAATATTGAGACCCAGTTCAAAGTCAACTCCTCAAAGGCTACCCTCACATGCCTCCCCTAAAATTCAGATACCTAAAATTCATAATACCCTGTGATTATTTCTACCATAGCACTTACTGCATTATAGTGTAATTATTTACTGGTCTGCCTTTCCTGTTAGACTGTTCCCCAAGCACAGAGGCCTCATCTTATTCATCTTCGTGTTCTCAGCACCTAGCACAATGTGTGACCCATAGAAGGAACTCAATTAAAGTTTTAGAATAAAGGAAGCACAGCCAGGGCAATAGTGACCCTCTGCTTACCTAGGGCTGCTTCCTGTGGTAGCCTCACCAACAGACAACACCTCTTCTGTTAAGTGGGGACTTCTGATATAGGAGTCTTGGTGAACTCCAGACACAGCTGCTTTCCCTTCAGTTTAGTGCCCTCTCTGACATCCAGAGAGCGTGTATAAAATAAGCTTATAAAAGCTTTTCACACACATGCCTATCTCCTCAGGCCTGTCCTGGTTGGGGAGTTTTGCCCTTGCATCCCCTTCCACGGCCTTTTCCCTTCCTACCTCTGATCTTTGGGGTAGACAGACAAATACCTTCTCCCTGACTTACTGATAAACACACTCCCTTTTAACATATATCCTCTTTGCCTTGGGCCAGAGATCCACCTCACCCAGCTCGGAGAGGAAAGCAATGAGTCACTGCATACTATTCCATTGACGACCTGTCCACCCTATCAGTGCACCTTCATTCCCCTCCCCAAGGGTTAGTAGCCACTTCCCAAAGCCCCAGGGAGCCTCACGTCATGGCCTGATATATGGATTCAATGCCATAGCGCATGGAAAATTCATCGACAATCTCTTGGGCAGTCTCATCAAAGTACACCTTCCATGCATCATCTCCTCGAGTCTCAGGGATCTGGACTGCTCCATTACCTTGAATATCTGTGAGGTAATGGAAAAGGTTCTGCAGGAGACAGAGCAAAGAGTTAAATATACATTAAAAGCAAAACCACAATCTGGTGATTAAGTCCAGGACAATGTGTATAGGGTTCCACAGAAATTCTGTCCTTCAAATCATTGCTCAGTTCCTCCTGTGGCCCTAGAGGGCAATGCTCATATGAGTAAAGGAGAACTGAGGCTGGGACTGTTACTTGGGCTGTTCAGGGTGGCACAGTGAGCCAAGGATAAAATTTAAAAAAGGCCCCTAATCTTCAACCATCTAGCCATGCTGCTCATTGTAAAAGCCCCTCCCAGCATTGCTTTCTGGCACCCCATCTACCAAGAGCTGGCTCACCTCATGGAGACATGTATACTGCACATGATATGGGGCTACCTTCTCCTCCCCCTTGATCTCCACACTGATATGTAGTCGGATAGCCCCTGAGACAGCTGATTTGTCTGTCCTCTTCTCTAGGAAGGAAAGAAGACAGGAGATTGACGTCAATGCAGCTACAGATAGCACAGAAATCCAGCATCCTGGCTTAACCCAAGGGAAGAGAAGCACCAACCCACACATTCACCTAACAGGGTGAATGCACTCCAGTGACCTTGTGGTCCACAAATACCCCAAACATTACCAGTAGGAATTCTCCCACACCATTAGGAGACTAGGGAGTTAAAGCCATCAGGGTAATGAAGATTCAAGGGCCTTGTGAAATCTGGAGAATGTCCAGCCAGATCACTCTGTCCAGTTCCAGCCCCCCACTCCACGGTCCCCCATCTCTACCTATGGTTGGTTCTCTGCAGGTAAGACAGGCTCTGCATAGACGTATGCTTTAGGGATTGAGTGATGGTTTTGATAGACAGGATTTTTTCCAGGTTCCCCATGCATGTTCTCCCTTCCTAGCAATTTTCTCTGGTCCTGTTTCCTTACCCAAGTTATACCAGACATCCATCTCGCCACTCAGTGTCCGAACCTCGATGATGGTTTGGCCAAGGAAATCATCAGACTCTCGCTTTAGCCTCTGCTTTACTCTCGACTTGATGTCATCATCCTCATCCCACACGCGTACTTTAATGCGGTCGGAAGAGTTGTGGCACTCGCTGTGAGAGAATTAGGCAGTCTCCATCAGGGACAGACTCAGCAGCACTCCTATTACTTTCAAATCCCTCACAGAGGAAAAGCTGGACAGATGCCACATAGCCCTAGGAAACAACCGCTAGTTCCCTCCCTAGAGTCAGTAAAGGTATTAATGTTCATGGCACGTCCATCTGGTCATATCTACTTAGCTTTCTATCTAGCTCCCCCATCTATCTAGGTATGTGGTTGGTGCACTATCATTCTTTACACCCATACGAATTTCCACTTCCGCTATGGGGTTTGCTTTGGAGAAAGGAGTTTGCCCAGGTTCCCCTCTCATGCTCTCCCTCCCCACCAATTGCCTTCTGGATTCTGCTGCCTTGCCCAAAAGTTGTATTGGGCAGAATTTGCTGCTGCTTTCCCTGTGTTCTCATATCTTTGCACGTTCCATTACAATATTTTAGAATAACTACTAGTCTACTGAAAAATAATAGACAAATCAACAGTGAGCTTCTTGAAACCAGGGACTACCTTGCACATTTTTAGACACACAGTATCATATACAATGTTTTGTGGGCTTAATTGTTTACTAAATGAATAAAAGTGGGCTTATACAAAGGGATAAAACTGATTACAGAGCCAATTCATTTAGTGTTAATCATAAGAAGGATTCAAGCAGGAACCACTCAGATTCTCAAAGCAACAGATGCTCTCCCCAGTATCTGCTGCCCCTGGACTGGAGATTGATTTTACTAAGCCCCAATCCCTTTCCACATCTCCAAGGAGCCAACAAAAAGAAGTCTCTACACAGCCAGCATGCTTAGCTGATCCAGACTCAACTTCCCGGTCCTAAGCCTTAGTAATGTGACATTAGTCCAAGTCGTAGGCTAGACCTTGCCATTTTTCAACAACCATCCCTTATTATGAAATAATAGTCTGTTAGAAATTGAGACAATGGAAAAAGGACAGGGGGTAGAAGCTGAGGTAGGAAAAAAAAAAAGCACAGCCCTTTAAGGGAAATGGAAACTTCTCTAGAACCCAGATTTCTATCTTCAAGCCAAAATTACCCAGATGTAGGACAAGGACATTCCTTCCTGATTTCCCAGCAAAGCCTAATCCTTCCTAGGCAGGATGGCAGGCTGGGAGTATACACAGGATGGTCAGTCCCTGGTTCTCCCACTGGGCAGTGGTAACATCTTTCTAACACTACAAAAGGCAGTATGGAGTGCTCAGGGGCATCTTTAGTAGCCCTAATAAAGACAGGGCTTGGGTAAAGTAACTGATAAAACAGACCACAAGAAGAAATCCAGAGGAAGAATGGCTGCTGCCCAACTGAAACATGTGAAAACTGAGTTTCCTCCACTGCCTCTGCCCCATCCCTCTAAGAGTCCAAGCCCAGAATAATGGGATTTAATGCTGCTCCCAAAATACGTATAGTGCCAGGTAAGAAAAGCCTTCTGTGACTTACAAATGGAACTTCTCTTCCCAAACAGGATTCAGGTTCCCAAAAATGGTCTTGGTACGCTTCTTGGTTTTTCCCACCTGCACAGTCACGTAAGGATCACTGGATCCTGTCTTGTCCTTGGCTTGTAGGCCCTGGGCACAAACCACTGCAACCCAAATACAAAGAGGAATAGGCTTCAGAGTGCTCATCAGAAGTCAGAAGTCCTCCACAACACGATGCTCGTGTTCTCCATCTTAGAGCAGCCTCTATATGCCCTTTGCACAGGAGCCCTAGTCTTCTCACCCCTCCATTTATTCTTAGCCCTAGGCCACCAGTCTTTCCCTCAAAGCCTAGCCCAAGAATCCCACCTCCCCAACAGAGCCCTAACTGACCACTTAACTCTACCCTAGTCCTTTCTGATGATATATGCACACTTCAGCCACACCTTCCCAGCTAGTAAGCCACTGGCTGTTTCCTGATCTCCTGCCCATCCCCTTCCCCAGGCCCCAGCTCTTGTCATATCAGACCGTTAGCCAAGTTTGTAATAGATTGTTTCCAACTCCTTCTTTTATCATACATGTCATTTGCAGGTGTCAGTCTTGCCTCTCCCAGCACCCTATAGCACCAGGGTCTAGGAGAGGAGAAATGATGAACAATAAGGCCTCTCTCTTCCCCTCCATTCTATCTTCTTCCTCCCCAGTCCCTTGCTCCCTCACATTCAGGGTGCTTCTTTCCCGGGATCCTCCCCACAGCCTAGGCCTTCCTGCCCTCTCAAACTCTGGCTTGCTCACCAGTGATGGTAATCTTGGCGGACCATTTTGAGGTGCCATCCAGCACACTCTGCTTCACTGTTTTCATCTGCTGCACATGAGCAACTTTGCTCACAGTGAAGACATCTCGAATAACTTCAAAGATCTCTGGCTTATTCCGCTCTCGGATCTTCATGCGGTCCTTCATGGCCATGATAATATTCTGGGTCCGGTCCTCAGCTCCATGTTTACAGCTCTTTTCTGCAGCCCCTGAAGGATGGCCAGAGACAGAAAGTAGGTAACCAACAAGCCATCTACCAGTCTAAGGGGAAGGCTGAGGAATAGGGCCAGGGAGAGGTAACTGTGCAGTGCCAGCAGCTTAGGAAAACTGGGAGAGCTCTGGGAAAAGTTAATCACCATGGGCCTGCTGGAGTTTAATGGCTGGCTAGTGGAATTTAAATGTAACTGAAAGGGTAGCAAAAACTTGATAATTATTAGGGGGGTTTATTATATTATTCTATTTAGATACATGTTGAATTTTTTTCATCAGAGAAGAAACAAAAAATTGTAGCTCAGTCTGCAGTTGGCTTTGTCTTTCTTCCATCCAGATAGTGGTTGAAAGGTACCTTGCAAGTCTAAGGCCAAAAAAATCACTGGTGGATGTATCAGTTATCAGAGAGGAGTACTGGGTAGGCACGATAACTCCACCAATCTCATCAAACTTCCAAGCCATGACACAGATCCCAGAGCTTGTCAGGGCACACAGCTCGGTTCTGCCCCATAGTTTCAGGGCTTTTCATCTCAGAAAGTAGTGTGGTGTGATGAGAAGAGTATGGCCTTTGGTATCAGACAAAGTTGGGTTCAAATCCTGACTCCACCATTCCAAGCTGGATAAACCAGTTTCTTCTAAGAGAAGAAAATGGCACTTATCTCTCAGGTTGTAATTAACATTCTATTAGCATACATAAAGCACCTAGCCCAGTGCCTGGCACCTAGCAGATACTCAATAAATGGTCACTATTATTGTTACTACTATCATTATGATCCTGACAGGATGGCAAGGGCCATCTTTGCCGGCTGTTACCCCAGCCAGCTCATCTCAAGACACTAGCAGGCTTTCCCTACTGCCCTAAGGAATATGGGGGAACACAGATCCCTCCAGTGTATTTCACCAACCAGGCTTCTCAGAAAGGAGCCCATCCTTCTTTCACTGGCCCTGCAGACTGGCTCTTACATCCCTCTAGGCTCCAAAGGCTTAGGCCTTTATTACAAAGCTTGGATCTTTGTAATAAAAATATCAAAATAATAAAAAAATAAAGGCCAACATCTGTACTGAGGAGGATAGCAAGCAGGTTTTCTGTCCAGGGAGGCCCATAAAAGGGCATTTCACTCCTCTCTGTGCTTCATAGAAGGCTTAGGCAGAAGACATTTTCTGCTAAATGAAAAATGACTTGGGCTGTATCCCACTCTTGCCACTCAGTATATCCCATGCCATGCTACTTCCTTGGACTGGGACTTCTGAATGACCCTTGAGGACAAGATCAACACACTTGCTACAAAGTGGCATTACAGAAGAATTTTCATTTCAGCAGAATTTTCCAGCAAGCAACCTATGCAACCAATTTGGCTGCTAGTTCTCAGTCATGAAAATGAGGGCCTGCTGACACCTGTGCTCGTCATCCCACATGATGGGTTTGGTCAAAGTCATTACCAGCATTCATCTTCAGACAGTTTTTTCAGAGCTCCGTCTCTTCTGACTTGGCTCTACCTGTCTCTTCATGTCTACCATAGCCATGCGACTGGCACCAACCTAGGGTTCTTCAAAGGAGGACACGGGAAAAATTCCTCAAGGCCTCTCCCTGGGCTCCTTTTATGTCACTTATCTTCCCTTGGGACAAATGAAGTGCCTCTGAGTCTAGTGTAACCTTCCTTTCTACTATCACAATCCTTGAAGCTATCATGGCTTAGCTCTGAGTAACACCTGAGAGACTTGGAGAGGCAAGAAAATGCTTTAACCCATCCCCCTGCTCTGTTCCTCCTGGGGTCCAGCCACAGAGGTACAGGTCCAGCAGGAACAGAGCAAGGAGACAAGAACTTAAGAGTGCTATTTTCTCCTTTGACAGGAACATGTTGCTTTTCCTGCTCCTCTTCTCCTCACCCCATGGTGGTAGCATAAATCACACATTTAGTCAGGACCTTGGGAGTGTGGCATACTGTCCCCCAGGACCTCTGCCTGATCCATTTGAAACTTCTGTTCCTGGCACTAAAAGCTGCATCTATATGCAAGGAATAAATGCTGCCTTCCCTGGGTCCTAGGGTCTAGTCATTTGGGCAGTATGGCTGCTGTTGGGTGTACACCACTCAAGTACAGCCTCTGGGATCACCTGAATCCTAGAAGAGATCCTAGTTCCACCAGAGGGCCACAGAAAGCTCAAGGAATTTTTCTTAAAAGTTCTTAAAAGAGTGTTATAAAACCTGTTATTTGGACAGGCAATGCCCCTTGACTCAGGACCCTAGTTTCTTTAAAAAGGTAAGGGCTTCAGGATTAGACAGACTAGAGAAACTGATGGTTCAGCCATCCTAGCTCTTTGTTGCTAGACTATTTTGGAGAGGCCATGTCGGCCCGGCTCCCACCCCTCATTCCACAGGGGCACTCACGCTGTAGGCAGTCGGCATTGAGCAGGTCCTGGCACTTTTCATGGCACTTGACTCCACACTCGCTGCAGCGCATGCCCTGCCGGGCAATGCCCCAGAGCAGGCCTTCACACTCATAGCAGTAGGTCGGGGTAGTGGCAGTCCAAACCTCAAAGTTGTGGGGTGTGGTGCATGAGATGGGGTAGATTAAGGCCTGCAGGGTTTTCTTATACACATGGGATTTCTGAAAGACACATAACCCATCACCCACCAGTGATTTTAGGTCTCTGCTGGAAGATACCATAACTCACACCACTGCAGGGCAATCAAGACCCTGGTTTCTCCTCCGGCAATAGAGAAGATGCTCTAGCCTGGCAGAAAGAAGCCCCAGTTTCATGTGCTACTGGTCTTCCTAGACAGGTCCAACCAGAACAATGGGTCTGAGCCTTGTTCCAGCATTCAAGGTTTCTAGGGAAACAGAGGGTACTAGGCCCACCATAAAACCCTGAGTACGATGGTCACATATTCCAATATGAGACTTGGACTTAATCCTAATTGGACCTTTGCCTCTCCCAGTGTGGAAAACAGATCTAATGTTATCTATCTGTTTTGTTAACAATATGTTCTCAACACTCTTGATTTCTCAAGTACTGTGGCTACAGAGATGATCACAAACCAGTCTTTAAAAAGCCAGTGGATTCATGAAAGCCCATGGGTCACTTACCAGCTCTTCATCCTTGAGAGAGGTGCGGGTAGCCATTGCAGAAGCAATCCCTGCCTTCCGGGACTGGACCAGTGACTGTGAGAAGATACCTGCAGTCAGCCCTGGCTACCACCAAGGGCTGCCAAAGTTGTGGGAAGGGAGTCTCAGTGACCAAAGAGAATTTACTACCTTCTATTTTTACTGTCACTCACAGGGACTGCAAGGGTAATAGGTAACAAGAGTCCCAGGTTAAGATCCCAAATCCAAGGCCCTCAGGACTGTTCTAGCCATGTGAGAATGGCACTTGTCTCAGGGTACCCATCACCCAAAGTATTTCTCTTTCCTTTGCTATTTTTAAGTATACTGCCCCTTGTTTATAGAAAGGAGAAAGAAAATGAAGTTTACGATTATAGCAGGAAATAGGTCATTAAGAATAGAATAAACACAACTCTGTCAGTCATATTTAAGAACTGTCACTGAAAATGATTCCTGTCCCCTGGTACCACCCTGTCACATTTTCCCGATACCCCTGGTCCCCTGGTAACACCCCATGAGCACACAATCCCAGGTAGCTGTAGAGATGCCAGCAGCTCATGAGCCCAAGTGAGAGGGGCATTGTAGCCCTAGTCAAATTGAGCAGGGAAGGGAGTTAATTCTGACTGCTGGGGCTGCTCTGCTAGCTTATGTCTTCTGTAGAGGTGCCATACATATCTGCCAAACGCTAGCTTTAGGGGCAGCTCCTGGAGAGGCACATGGTTTCCCTAAGGCAGTGAACATTAGATAGACAGAAATTATATCAGCTCAAGAAGGAGAAACAGCTGAGAGGCATCCAGGTGGTTTGAGAAAAGAGTCTTACAGAGCATGGAAAAGGGGATCAGAAAACACTCACCATAACCTGCGCAGAGGAGAGCAGAGAAAGGAATGACACAATGTTAAAAGCCTCCCCAAGGCAAGAGAAAACTTTCAGAGGCAACTGAGAGGTTCTTCCCTATAGTCCAAGGTAGGGAACACTTCTTAACCCCCTCTGCCTCTTTCCACTAAAAACCAACCTTCAACCCAGAGAGCTGACCATGGCCTAAGGCCTAGAGCTCCTCCACCAAGAACTCATGTACTTGGTTTTAATGAAATAAAAATTCTTGCCTACATGAGCAAGAATATCAAATGGTAACACTTTATGTCAGAAAGTGGAATAAATATAGTCAGGGTTTAAATATAGGAGGAAGGGAAACAAATGAATAAGACACTGCTACCCAACCAATTAAGCAAAGAGGAGCTGGTGGCCAAGAGGGAGCATAGGATGAGAAAAAGTAGGAAGAAAACACAGGAGGGAGAGAGGAAGATGGAAGACAGTGAAAGAGGTAATGTAATAAAGAGAAGACAGAATTTATCTCCACCCAACTAGCTTGCTGAGGAGTTGTTAGGAGAAGAGGTACACTAGAAAGGGGGAAAAAGAGAAAGGAGAAGATACAAAAATAGGAAAGACAGAAATGATTAAGAGAAAATGACAGTGGATAGGTCCATTCAGCCAACTAAGGAGGGAGAAACTGGTGGGGGGTCAGGGGGGGGAAGAGAATAGAGAATGGAGGAGAAATGGGAAAATGGGCAGATAGAAAAAAAAAAGACTGAATAGGTAGTGAAAGAAAGAAAATGGGAGCATAAAATGGTAACAAGAAAAAGGGTTCAAGTCTTAATGAGCTCTAGGACTCTGGGAGAGCCAGGGTCCCCTTCCACTCCCACTGCCCACTTTGAAAAATTCCTTGAGCTGATCCTGCCTTAGAAAGTATGACCCAAGATGGGAGCGTCTGGTCATCCTGGAGATCCTGAGATCAGCTTTTAATTCCTAAGCCTGTTTCAACCAAATTTCACAAATTGTTATCATTACCTCTCAAGGCCAGACATTGAGTTAAGGACTAAGGGCACAGAGGTAATCTAGAAAGCCTATGTCTCAGGAGGAGATTATCACTTGACCTCCAAGAAGTAGTTACACCAGTATGTTCATCACACACTAAACTCAGTAATTTAGGCAATTTTCATTCTAGGTCATCTAAAAGGCTATAGAGATACCTAGAGAAATTAAGTACCTAGAAGATGACCCTGGAGCTCAGCTTTGAGAGCCCAAGATATAAATCTTCCAAGTAGGAGCTTGAGCTAGCAAAGAAACTGGGGCTCTGACGAGGGAGTGAAGTAGAACAAAGTCCCACTGATGCTATCACTAAGTCTCAGTAAGGCTTTAAATGAGTGATCTTCAGGAAAATGTGTCACTAAATGGGCCACTACCAGTCTTGAAAGCTCGCCAAGGCCCAGTGGGGATACCCCAAGGCTACAGCCTAATCTTGCACAACAGTCTAACTCACCAGATCACTAACAAGTGGCAGTGGCTTCTTTCTGCGTAGATCTGGCATGCTGTCAATGCCATAGAGGCCTCCAGCTGGTCTGAGGGGAGAAGAGAACATGTCAGCACCTTCAGTTCTGCCTTGAATTACTGGCAGGTTCAGTGTTCCATTCTCCCCGCTTACCCTTTCCCCAGAGAAAGATGAACTGACCTCAACACCATGTGCCTTTGAGAGGAATAAGGAAGACAGAAAGTGAGGGAAATAAAACCACGGAATGATGAGCAATGACATCTGCTCTCAGTGTTCCTCAGTGTTTCCTATAGTTTTAGCCAAGGACTGAGAGCTCTTGTTCCTACAGTGACACTTCAAGGCATCTGTTTATCTGAAGGCCCTTGTGTACTATAAGGCAAAGTGAGAATAGGTGGTTAAGAGGGTTCCTCCCTATACTCAGGCCAGAGACTCTGCTACCCCAGGGATAAGTCTTTCTCTTTCTGGAGGGTGCTAGGACAGAGCCCACAGGCCTGGCTTCATGGAAAAGCTGCTGCCTACATGAGCAAGAATGTCAAATGGTAACACTTTTTGAGTAAAAGTTCTGTCTATCCAAGCCTCCTGAACAAAACGGATCTCCATGGAAGGTGGAGCCCACATAATCAAGTAGAAACAGAGTAGGTGTGATGGAAGACTTCCAAAGGACCATTTAAGGGGACCGTTTAGGAAGGAAATAGCAAAAGGACTCAGAGTCTAACCTAGCTCTATGGACACACCAACAGGGACCAGGAAAACATTTTAGCTGGAGTAACTGGAGATTTCTAAAATGTTAATACCTTTTCCATGCTTACTAATTTTGTTGTTCTTTCATAACAATATGCAATAAAAATATAAAAAATGTCCCCAAAAGAACATCATTTCTCACACTGAGATAACCTGGATTTTATCCCCAACTCTTCTGCTAACTCACTACACGTCCTCTGTCAAAATTCCTATCTCTCTTTGGATCTCAGTGTCATTTCTATAAAATGAGGGCGATGAACTACAAAATCTCTGACCTTTTGGAAACCGTCATTCTGAGCTTCAATGAAAAGAACTCATGTACTTGGTTTTAATGAAAGTAAGGAGGTGTGGAAGGTGGTACATGACAGCTGGTCTGAAAAGAGAAATGAAGAAGTTGTAGGTACTGCCAGCTACATAGTCAAAGGATGGAGCAACAGATTAGGTCAAGACCAGGAATGAGAACAGGCAATTTGATATGTTGATTTTTAATAAACTAGCTTCCTGAGCACAGGCAGTGAACTTGGTTTTCAGTGAGACTACTAGACCTAGGGAAGTTTTAAATGTGTGACAGTTTTAAGGACTAAGCTAAAGGAGAGGAAAGACAACAGGAAGGCATTTAGAAAAATCACTGCATGACTCCCTTATAAAACAGCTTAGACATGTTCCATTGGCATGTATTAATTTTACAATTACTAGAAGAAAAAAGCTAAAGCCATGAAGAAGTTCTGTTGAGGAAGCAACTAGTGCCAAAAGTTTGTGGCTAATTCTAAAAACTATAATATGTACCACTTAAGAAGTTTTCCACAACATAAATGAACTTTTGACTAAAGAAAAAGGGTAGCTCATTCACATGACTATGTCTTGATTTAAAAAGACAAATCACAAAGAAAAGGAGCATGTAAAAATGCAGATAATTTTATGATCTGATCTTTTTAATTCCCTGGTCACAAGAGAGAAGAGGCAGCCACTGCAAATCCTGACGACAGCTTTTGTGGGACAAGGAGAGAAGGAATATCCTGAAAAATAATTGGTGGTACATGTGGTGGTAAGTGGTGGTGGGGAGGCACTTAAACTCTTCTTTCTCTTAAGCAGTCAGTCACAGGCATCAGTTGAGCAGCTTAAAATGACTCTCTGGTGCAATCACATGGGTCTGAAATTCCCAGACAAGAAGCCAAAACAGAACACACACAGCTCATCAGGGATGCTACTTATGTCTTGACTAGAATGCAACAGGAATAAGTAGATGACTCACAACAGCTAAAGCAGGACAGAGCCCAGGGGGTAATCTAATCAGCTACATTATCAACAGTGGAATGAAAAGACACTGTCTCCAAATGCACCTATTTTTCTAGTTTCCTCATGCTCTTACCTAAGGGGTATATCACCACTAGGATGCAGTGAATCCGAAATTCCACAGGCAAGGATGAGCAATTCTCTAAGCTCTCCCTCCTGCTCCAGGGGAACTACTCTGCAGAGCTCTGTCTTCTGCCTGTGAAGATACAGTCTGCAGAATTCTCTCCCTGCCCCAGAGAACCAACCAATCTTTACAGTGAAGCATCTTCCTTCCTCAGGATCCAGCTATGAAGCTGTTTCTCCTGCTTCTCAGGGGAAAAGCTCAAAGAAGCATGAGAGAGTATATAAAATACACAGAAACCTTGCAGGGAATCACTTACCCTTCTGGGATCCACTGGGGCAAAGAGGGGTCACCATCATCTGGAATCTTTAAAAAGAAAAGGAAAAAAGTTAGATCCTGGGAAAGATGGGAGACTGCCATAACTTCTTTGGTCAGGCAGTGAGCAGTGAGGTAGGAAGCTCAGGGCAGTGTAGGTCACAGCCACCCTGTGGTGACATGACCAGCTTGATGCCTAAGCCAATGCCCTGATCCTCCAGGGTAACAAGCAGACTACTGAAATGAGCGGTACTGTTATCTCCCTTCTCTCCAGTGAATATGAAGGATATAAGGCCAAGCTCACTGAGGTCCCAGGCTAAGGCCCACTGTGAGTGTGAGAGCTACCAGGACTTATTCCCTTCACATAACCCCCTGGCATATACAAGAGTAAGCTGACGCCAGGAGAAGGGTCCACTTAGGCTTCCAGGTCTCCCTACAGCAAAAGGACAACTTCATGTAGAATCTGGTCTTCTTCCAGCTATATTCCTAAATTCCTTTGGTTGCCCCAGAGTCACACCTGTTCTTTGTGGATTCCCAGCTCACCTTGTGATTTGCCTTGGCTTAGGTTCCTTGAGGCCCTAATTCACTGACACTGAGTACACTCTACAGTTGATAAGCTCTATATAACAAGAGAACACTGGGCGGGTTAGACACTTGGATTATCACTCTGGTGAATTTATGAGTTCTACAATGAGAACTTGAAAGCTGAGGCCAATTCAAGGAAGGAACAAACACTTTTTAAAGGTCTCCAAGCAAAAAAACCAAAGTAGATCCCTTAAGCAGTGTACAGAGAGAGCACCAAAGCTGCCAGTGCTTTCCAGAGAACCAAGGGTAAATGCTGCTCGGGCCCAACAGACCTAGTGCTAGCAGGTCTGGGGCTTCCTGTTCCTCCTTGTTCCCTTTATCCTTAACAAGTTCCCTGCCTCCTGAAACCTGGCCTCCAGCTAACTATTGTGGAGCAAATGAGCTCCAGAACAAGGGAGGCAGAAGTAAGCTGTTTGGCTGTGGATGAGGGGCGAAGTTTTGGGAAAGCTAAAAATGGGAGAAGTTATAGACATAATGAGGTAAAATGGAGTAGAAAAGGGAGAGGCAGGATAGGCCAATGAGTGATGTAAAAGTGGGTAAGAATTACTCTGGGTCAGCAGCAGGCTCCAGATGAACTCTGGATTTAAGACCCTTCTCAGGTTGTCGGTGCTCTAAGTAGAGCCTATTTGCCTACTATTGCCTAAAGCCCTTGACGACCCCATTTCACCTCATCTGCCTCCCTGTCCTGGCTCTGTGGGTGAGATGATACTGGTAAAGGGAGGGCCATCCCCAAAAGGCAGCTAGAAATAGTTGAAGCAAGTCTCCCAAGGTTGTTAAAAAGAGAAGGACCTCTTCCTAAGCCCCCACATCCTACCAACCAGAATTCTTCTTCCCTTTGGAAACAGTCACTGTACTGAGACTGACTTCCTATCTAAAATTAAATGTTTGCCAGCAACCATGGGGTTTGAGGAAACAAAGTCACAAAAGGTCTTGGGAGCCAGGATTCACAGGCTCAAATCATACACATTTCTTGTGGTTAGAGGGAACAGTAGGTCTGCAGAAGCCTGCAGATGTGGCATAGAGCATGCACACACACGGCACTGAAGTGGGGAGAGGGGAGTGAGAGGAGTCTAGACAAAGTACCTACAGAAGGTACACTCATAGACACAACTTGCGCTGGAGGGAGACACAAGGTGAGCATGGACCCTGCACACAGGGCTACAGAACACATGCACACACATATTTGGGGGAGAATTCAGTGTTCACTGGGGCCTGAATCAGAGGCAAAGCAAATTCTCACTGGTGTGGAGAACCAGTGTTTGTAGGCACACGGCATTAGTATACTATGAATTCCCAAGGCATGGGGAACCACATCATAGGTTTACAGAAGCTTTTGCTCAGAGAGGCCAGGAAGAATGCTCAGAAGCACAAAGCACGTTTACACTTAGGGCCCCTCATAAGAGGCACAAAATGTCTGTAACAACTCCTGCTTTCAAATACAAAGTATGTATGCATGCTGGGCTCAGCAAGGATTTATAGCATATGCCAGTCTGCAGCAACAAGGAGTAGAAAATGGATGTACACTGTGCAAAAGTAGGAGAAGAGGAAGGCAATCAGTGTCTGGGGGAGTCAAACTGAATACAAGTATAAGCACACACATGCTACACTGAATGTGCACTATGCTGGCACACACATTCTCACACTGTGCCCCAGGGATGTCTGCGGGAGCGCGCACAAGCATGGAGCATGCACACAAACTGCTTTCAGGAAAAACAAGACTATCTGCATGAGCAAAGGCTCAGAAGCACAGATCAGGAAGGCACACACACACACACCGTGCTCAGGAGGGAGGGGAAGAGAAAAGACAACATAAAGGGCCCAAAGGGCCAGAGGCACAACCTGAAAGGCTCCTCGCTTTCCTTCTGCAAGGAGAGAAAGAGCAGAAAAAAGCAGAGAGGTTAACAGATCCAGTCCTATTGCAGGGAGCCCAAAGAAAATGCCAGCTAAACCTCAAGGGACATGGAGGAAAGGTAGAGGTTCTCTGAATGACTGGGTAGTTCATAGAGCCCAGTTCCCAGACTCCTTACCTCCTGTATTTACTGGCCCCAGCTTTTTCATTTAGAACATTCCAGATATGGCTATGCAAACCAGAGGACAAAGTCTACCTAGGGATTCCAGCCAACCTTTTGTCCTTTCTGAAGTGGCCTGTATGCAGGGTCAAGGCCACCAGCACCACAGGACCAGCTTTGTTAACAAGGGCCACTCCAACAGGTTATCCAAGCTGGCTTAGCACAAAGTTCCTTCCCTATAAGCTGTAAGAGCTCACTCTAGATCTTCTGGTGAATTTATGAGTTCTACAATGAGAACTTGAAAGCTGAGGCCAATTCAAGGAAGGAACAAACACTTTTTAAAGGTCTCCAAGCAAAAAAACCAAAGTAGATCCCTTAAGCAGTGTACAGAGAGAGCACCAAAGCTGCCAGTGCTTTCCAGAGAACCAAGGGTAAATGCTGCTCGGGCCCAACAGACCTAGTGCTAGCAGGTCTGGGGCTTCCTGTTCCTCCTTGTTCCCTTTATCCTTAACAAGTTCCCTGCCTCCTGAAACCTGGCCTCCAGCTAACTATTGTGGAGCAAATGAAATGAGCTCCAGAACAAGGGAGGCAGAAGTAAGCTGTTTGGCTGTGGATGAGGGGCGAAGTTTTGGGAAAGCTAAAAATGGGAGAAGTTATAGACATAATGAGGTAAAATGGAGTAGAAAAGGGAGAGGCAGGATAGGCCAATGAGTGATGTAAAAGTGGGTAAGAATTACTCTGGGTCAGCAGCAGGCTCCAGATGAACTCTGGATTTAAGACCCTTCTCAGGTTGTCGGTGCTCTAAGTAGAGCCTATTTGCCTACTATTGCCTAAAGCCCTTGACGACCCCATTTCACCTCATCTGCCTCCCTGTCCTGGCTCTGTGGGTGAGATGATACTGGTAAAGGGAGGGCCATCCCCAAAAGGCAGCTAGAAATAGTTGAAGCAAGTCTCCCAAGGTTGTTAAAAAGAGAAGGACCTCTTCCTAAGCCCCCACATCCTACCAACCAGAATTCTTCTTCCCTTTGGAAACAGTCACTGTACTGAGACTGACTTCCTATCTAAAATTAAATGTTTGCCAGCAACCATGGGGTTTGAGGAAACAAAGTCACAAAAGGTCTTGGGAGCCAGGATTCACAGGCTCAAATCATACACATTTCTTGTGGTTAGAGGGAACAGTAGGTCTGCAGAAGCCTGCAGATGTGGCATAGAGCATGCACACACACGGCACTGAAGTGGGGAGAGGGGAGTGAGAGGAGTCTAGACAAAGTACCTACAGAAGGTACACTCATAGACACAACTTGCGCTGGAGGGAGACACAAGGTGAGCATGGACCCTGCACACAGGGCTACAGAACACATGCACACACATATTTGGGGGAGAATTCAGTGTTCACTGGGGCCTGAATCAGAGGCAAAGCAAATTCTCACTGGTGTGGAGAACCAGTGTTTGTAGGCACACGGCATTAGTATACTATGAATTCCCAAGGCATGGGGAACCACATCATAGGTTTACAGAAGCTTTTGCTCAGAGAGGCCAGGAAGAATGCTCAGAAGCACAAAGCACGTTTACACTTAGGGCCCCTCATAAGAGGCACAAAATGTCTGTAACAACTCCTGCTTTCAAATACAAAGTATGTATGCATGCTGGGCTCAGCAAGGATTTATAGCATATGCCAGTCTGCAGCAACAAGGAGTAGAAAATGGATGTACACTGTGCAAAAGTAGGAGAAGAGGAAGGCAATCAGTGTCTGGGGGAGTCAAACTGAATACAAGTATAAGCACACACATGCTACACTGAATGTGCACTATGCTGGCACACACATTCTCACACTGTGCCCCAGGGATGTCTGCGGGAGCGCGCACAAGCATGGAGCATGCACACAAACTGCTTTCAGGAAAAACAAGACTATCTGCATGAGCAAAGGCTCAGAAGCACAGATCAGGAAGGCACACACACACACACCGTGCTCAGGAGGGAGGGGAAGAGAAAAGACAACATAAAGGGCCCAAAGGGCCAGAGGCACAACCTGAAAGGCTCCTCGCTTTCCTTCTGCAAGGAGAGAAAGAGCAGAAAAAAGCAGAGAGGTTAACAGATCCAGTCCTATTGCAGGGAGCCCAAAGAAAATGCCAGCTAAACCTCAAGGGACATGGAGGAAAGGTAGAGGTTCTCTGAATGACTGGGTAGTTCATAGAGCCCAGTTCCCAGACTCCTTACCTCCTGTATTTACTGGCCCCAGCTTTTTCATTTAGAACATTCCAGATATGGCTATGCAAACCAGAGGACAAAGTCTACCTAGGGATTCCAGCCAACCTTTTGTCCTTTCTGAAGTGGCCTGTATGCAGGGTCAAGGCCACCAGCACCACAGGACCAGCTTTGTTAACAAGGGCCACTCCAACAGGTTATCCAAGCTGGCTTAGCACAAAGTTCCTTCCCTATAAGCTGTAAGAGCTCACT